TTAACCCCCCAAATCCCCTTTTTACCCCTCCAAATCCCCTTTTTACCCCCCCAAATCCCCTTTTAACCCCCCAATTCCCCCCAAACCCCTCTCACCTTCCCCCCCAGCCGCCGCGGGGGGGGCCGGGGGCAGCGCCGGCATCTTTTGGGGCGACCCCCGCGCTGCCCCCCCCGCCGGGGAGGGGGCGATCAGGGGGGGCAGCCCCCTGTGCCCCCCGCCCTGCTCCCAGAAGGCGTTCTGCAGCCTGAAGATCATGGAGAGGGGCAGCGGCTTGTGCCGGGGGGGTCTCCCGGCCGGGGCGGGGGGCACCGGGATGCGCGACACCGGCTGCTGGCACGGGTGCCACCCCCGGGGCAGCGTCCTGGCCGCGGGGGGCGAGCGGAAAAGGGGGGCCCCCCCCTCTTGTCGCCGTTCCAGGGGGGACAGTTTGTAATTGCGCGGCAGGGTGGCGCTGTGAGAGCCGAAAGCGCCGTCCTGCGGCGGCGGGGAAAGGGTTAAAACGGTTAAAAATCGCTTAAAAAGGGTTAATTTTTTTTTTTTTTTTTTTTTTAGAACTGGTTTGCTGAGGAAGGTAAAACTCGGAGGAGCTGTTGGTGATTGCAGATTTGTCCATCACAAGAAGACATCTGACTCATGATGTTCTCTTTTTTTTTTTTTTTTTTTGGCGGGGGGGTTGTTTTAAGGTGCGGACCCCACCCCAAAATCCGCGCTCACCTTGCCTGGGCCGGCCCCGTCCAGGCTCGATTCCCTCCACAGCCCCGGGGGGGGGCGCGGTTGGCCCTCGGGGGTCCCTGGGGGGGGGTTGGAGGTCATTGTGGGGGAGACCCCACCCCAAAAAAGTGGGGGGGTTTGGGATTTTGGGATCCCCCCGCTGCTGTGGAGCCCCTCCCGAAAAGGTTTGGTGTCTTAAAAAGACTCAGAGACCACCCAAAAAAAAAAAAAATAGAATTCCATCTTCAACCCAAAATCCCAAAATAAACCCCAGACCCTTCCAAAAAAAAAAACCAACAGACTCCCCCCAAAAAAAACCCCAGACCCCCCCCCAAAAAAACCCAGACCCACCAAAAAAACCCCCAGACCCTCCCAAAAAAAATC